CAAATTATTCCATAAACAATCAAGCCATTTCGAATTTGAAGTCATTCCAAATTCATTAGTTTTGTAAGGAACTGTCTTTATTTTGTACTCGTTTGGAGCAATGTGCAATTAATAATATTGTATATATATTTTAATTATGTTGTTTTGGGAAATTTTTTTCCTTAAATTAAGAATTTTGTTTAATGTATGCATTTCAAAATTCAAAACCACCAATGCACATGTCTTTTTTTTTTTTTTGGAATATAAACTTTCTAAAATGAAGGATTTGGTTAAATTTGAATTAAAAAAATCTCTACATGCATGTATTTTAGAAATCACACCTTTTTAAAGTTTTGACTTATTGGGTTTAAATTTTTCATTCATAATTGATTTCGTATTTGAAATCATTTCAAATTCATTAGGGTTTGATTGTTTATGAAATAATTTGTTCAAATTGAGTTATTTTAGTTAACTATAATTAATTTTGAAAAATATGGTATGGTTAGTTGTAGTGGAATTTTAAGAATGTATTAAAATAATATTTAAAATAAAATAATTAGAATTGATTTGATGTAAAAGTAATAGATAAATGATTGGAAATGATAGGTAGTTAAAATTATGTGAGTGGATGAATAGTGAATTAAAGTTGATGTGATGTGTAAGAATGATTGGTTTGTATTATTTAATTATATGAATAATATTAAAGATAGTGGGGTTGAGTTAAAGTTGAGCTAGATTTTGAGTTGAAATAAAAGTGAGTAACTTATTTTGTAAACAATCACCCCCTTAGTTTTCAAAATGTAAAGTATTTTGGACTCTCTTAAATTACTAATATTTTATTTACTTTTGAATCATGTCATTTCGGCTTTTTTACACATTCTATAATTAAGTTATATATATATATATATGTGTGTGTGTGTGTGTGTGTGTGTGTTAAATTTAAATGTCTTAGGTTAAAAAACAGTTTAGAAAAAAATTATATAAACTCACATTTTTTTAAGTATAATATATAATATGTTAGATAATTCTACATATGTAATATAATATTTTTATTTTTTGATATTTTAAACATACATGTTTATATTATCTTAGACAAGATAAAATTTTATCAAAAGTAATTATTTTATAGAATCACATTATAGGCAAATCAAAATTTTGAATAAAAATTTTGAAATGACTTATCACTACAAGAAAATGATGAAATTTCAATGGAAATCTATTCCAAAAGAATTATTTCAACGACATTCCAACGGATATTTTAATACTATTATTTCTGTTAGAATTTTTCAATGGATTCTAATAGAAATTCCAACAAAAATATTCCGTTGGAATGAGTTCTCCATTGGAATTTTGGATTTTGACGATTCCAATGGTGGATTTTCCAACGGGTGTGGAAATAAAAATTCCAACAAAAATTCTTACGGTAAAAAACTGTATAAAATATAGTTGTTAGAATCATCAAATTCCATCTAAAATTCCAATGATAAACACATTCCAACGGAATATTTCCGCTGGAATTTTCGTTCGAACTGTTCTAACGGAAGCGATATTATTGGAATATCCGTTGGAATTTCCACTGGAATATATTACCATAGGATTTTCCGTTGGAATATAACAATTATTTTGTAGTGTATTTTGAAACAAATATGATGAAATTTATTATTAGTTATGTGTACCAAACGGCTTGTGTATTAATTTTAAATGAATATTCTTATGGAATTTTCCACAATTTAAATTTTATATACATTTTCAATAAATTAATCTATGTAAATTGTATTGAATATTGATTTTATATCTTTAATTTATAAATTTTATTTATTAATGAATATCACTTACATATGCATCACACGAGATTCATACTAGTCTCATTCAACATGACTATCAACTCGCACAAGAAATTATAACTAACTATGGTAAAAAATATGAACCAGGGCACCCCCAATTAGAATCTTAATTACTAGTACATTGATTTCGCATGATATTAATTAAATTCAATTTTTATTACAAATTCTCCAAGATTCTCCTCGGGCCACTATATATACGCATCTCTCATTCCACAGCCCCGCCCCACCGCCGGAGATTCTCCCCCCCTTTCCACCACCACCACCTGAGATTCTCTCTCTACCCCACACCCCTCAAATGGCCCTCCGCAGAGCACTCTCCAAGCGCCTGTTCTCCGCCTCCAACCCCGACCCCCCTTCTCCGATCACCACCCTCGACCACCCGCCGGTGAAGCCCCGCTTCCACCGCGAACCCGCCCCCGCCGCCGCCTCCGACTTCCTCCGCCGCTTCCTCCAGCGACGGACCGTCTCCGGCGTGTTCCCATCCTTCCTCGGGATCCCCGCCGGCGAGACTCTCCGGGATAAGCTGCAGCCGCCGCCGCGGCTCCACCTGGACGGGCTGGTACCACCGGATCCGGAGGCCGGGGACGTTCTCCGCGTGGGGGCGGCGGAGGCGAGGAGGCTGCTGAGGCTGGTACGGGCGGAGCAGGTCAGGGAGAGGCTGAGGGGTATTCCGGCGAGCACGGTGGCGTACGGCGAGTTCGTGCGGGTTTGCGGCGAGGTGTGCGGCGGGGACAGGGCGGCGGCGGCGGAGTTGGCCAGGACGATGGACGAGTGTGGAAACGTCATCGTTTTGGGTGTGGTCGTCTTTCTCCATCCGGATCAGGTATGTGATCTCACTTTAATTATTGTTTTAAAAACATTAATTAGCACTTTAATGGAATTTAATTGGGTTTATGTGTATTTTATTACAATCTCTTGTAATCCCGCTATATATTAATTCAGAACGTGCTGAGCCTACGTGGCTTCTTTTGGTGATTCAGAATCCTATATGGCAAAATTACATGCTTTGTTATTAGGCTTGGGTGATTTTAATTTAATTCCAAACCAAAAATAATTAGGTTCGGATTACATGTTACATGTATTAATTACATTTCAATATCATTCCTTATTATAACTATTGAATTGTATATATATTTTAAAAGTTAATAACTTTTGTATTTTTTATCAGTTTTACATATGTAATATATCAAATTAATCGTCTTTTGATGAGATTCGATTTAACATCAATATGTATAAAAAAAAATAATTTATATTTATCTTTATAACAATAATAAAATTATTTTTAATATTAATTAGAAAAATAAAATTATTTATCAACTAATATATTTATATTTTAAGTAGTTATATGATATAAGTTATAAAAACTAATATAATATAATACATGTAAGTCATAAATAACATATATCATTCTAAAATATAGAATAATATATTTTTTGTGTAAGAAAGTAAACTAGATTTGTATAGTTTTTTCATTAATTGTAAAGTTTAAGAATAATTTTTTAACAAGCACTCGTGTAATACACGGGTGTTCTACTAGTTGAATGTTATTGGGAACATCTCCAAAGTATCTTTTTGTTCGGTTTTCTAATATAATGGAATTAATTGGGTTTAGGTGTATTTGATTGGCTCTTGTAATTAAATTAGTTGGATCCCTTAGTCCCATATCCTGTCATTTAAGAATTCAAATTTATCAAGCATGTGTAGGCTGTAATAGTAATTTACAAAATTTTAAATTTTTTTTCTTATTATTTTGATTCACTAATTATTGAAAAATATATAAATCACAAAATTAGAGCTGTTAGGATAGAAGTTGGGGGAAATGCTATGGTCTCGGAACCATTCCGTCAGGGTTTGTAACCTTTAGATCATTATGTAACCGTAAAAGATAATTGATCTGACGGTTACAAACCCGACAGCTACGATTCCGTAACGGATCCGTAGCATCTTCTAGAAGTTGGCCATATTTTGTTTGTTCCATTCCCTATAATCAGGAAATGAGCTATGTAGTAAAGTGAAAAATCTCCGTAAATGCCGTCCACGCAAGGCCTAGACTAACTACTTTGATGGATTCAACAAACAATTTATTGCTATTTTAATTTGAATTTATGTAAAATATAATTAAATTAATGTAAAGAGTTGTGAGTAATTCAAGAGTACAATGTTTATGTAGTGTACAAGATCATTATATCTAAGATATATTTCAATAGAATTTGAATTGTAATATCATTTGATATTACTATTGGCTCTGTTTGGCTATTAACTAGTAGCAAGTAGTTAATCGTATTGCTGGTTAGTTGACAACCGATTGTAATAGTTGTTTGACTAGTAGATCGTATATATTTTTGTAATAAGTTGTTTAGTAAATAGCGGACTTTATAGTTAGTTACTTTAAAATTTTATGTTGATACGTTATTTTCCGAATCCTCTCTTTTTCAAACGCTCTTATAATGAACTTTTTTCAAAATTAGCGTATTACTCTTTATCAAACAAGTTAACCAGAGGATTTTATGTGTCAAATCTCTAAATGAGGCACAATCCATTAATTTTATACTAATTTTTTTATTTAGGTAATTTTTTTGTTCTTTATAGGTGGCAAAATCAATAGAGACACTAATTTCCCAATCAATCTCAATGCCAAACGACCCAAGGATTAAAGAGCTGGAAAATCTAGAAACCCAAAAGGCCTCGATCGATCAAAAGGCCCGGTCCATGGTTCGTGCAGAGCTCTATTGTGGGCTGGGCCTAATGGTTCTCCAAACATTGGGCTTCATGAGGCTAACATTTTGGGAACTCAGCTGGGACGTGATGGAGCCCATTTGCTTCTTCGTGACCTCACTCCACTTTGCATTAGCCTATGCCTTCTTTTTGAGAACTTCTAAAGAGCCCTCCTTTGAGGGCTATTTTCAACGAAGGTTCAAAGTCAAGCAAATGAAGCTTATGAAAAGTCAGAAATTTGATGTGGAGAGGTATAATGAGCTTTGCGAAATGTTTTATCCGAATCACATGAATCGATACGACTACAAAAACGTTAACCGGTCACTTGGGAAGATGGATTTGGGCTCAATGCACGGTTGAGCCATATGTGTGTGTCACTATAGTAAAGATGAAAATGACAGACTTTTACGTCGAAAAAAATGAAGTACGGATTTAGGGTTTTGAGAATGTAAGTACACCTAGGGTTGATTTTCGGTGGTTCTTGTATGCATGGTGTATTTTATAGGATACTATATATCTATTTATTTCTTACATATTTGGTTGTGCATTGGATTTACTTTTATTTTTGTTGTTATTTGAGATTTGGGACTAAATTAGTATACTAGAGACATAACTTTAGGGGCCAAAAATTAATGTTTATGAAGAGATGAAAGAGCCCCCTTGTTTTATATTTTCATAATAATGTAAATGATTAATTATTGATTAGTTAGTTTGAAATCGTATTTAAGTACATTTTTAATTATTTAGATAATTTTACACTATAGGAAAATAAATAAAATAGATTTTTATTAATGTGAAACACCTCGATTATACATTTCTGAAGAGTTACAGTTATTTCTTTACGAAATTGCATATACAATAAAATCTATTTATTGATATAAATCGTGAATGATAGAGGTCGTATTTTTTTGTGATAAAAAAAAAAATAGACTTCATATTCATATTGATTGTGATAAAAAATAATTATTTATATAAAAAAAAATTAGTCTTCCTAAGATTGAAAAATAATTATGTCTCCACATTGATTGTGATAAAAAAAAAAAAAAAAAAAAAAAAAAAAAAAAAAAAATAGAAAATCAACATATGTTAAAACTAAGCATATGCGAAACCAAACTGTAGATATTATTTTACTATATTTTTATTGATTTGCAATTTTGAAAAATCTTTATATCTTTCAATTCGTATAAATTATCAATCTACATTTCTTTTGAGATTATTCATTTCATATCAAGTATTTATAATAACTATGTAGATCTACGATACATGTTCAAGAAGCTTTGACATCAGGAACCACATCGTTTAAAAAAATAACCTGGAAAAGAAAAAATACTGATTGCGACAAGCTCGCACCTGCCTTTATGGAGAAACGAGACCGACGTCGTCATTGATCGTTATCTTTTTATTCAGTTTCCTATTTTTATTTATTTAACATCTCCCATTTATTTAGTTACCTATTTTATTTAGTTACTCTAGGAAAGTTATTATTTTATTAAGAGTTTTGGATTTTGGGAACTCTATTTATTAAGAGATGTGAGCAGATGTTGGGACGATTGATTGATGATGAATAAAAATATATGTTCTTGAGTTCTTTGTTCCTTCGTTTAATCTTTCGCTGCGTCAGTTGGTATCCAGAGACCAGGACGTCCAAGATGCCGCCAGAGAAAACTGATGTCGTCGATGCCGCTATCGAGATGCTCAGCCGTCAACTCGCGGAGATGCAGGCCGGGTTTGGGCGGCAATTTGACCATGTGGATCGACGAATCACCGATTTGGCACAGGGTTTCGAGGAGCAATTGGCTGGACACACTGTTCACACGTTCGATCGAGCGAACCGTGGCCGGGGCGGACGGGACGGTGGAGCGCCCGGAGGACGCGACCGGGGTGGACGTGGGGGGCTCCGCGACCGGTCGCCTAATCTGTGGAATGGAAGGGGTGACGACGATGTCACCCTCTCCGATTACAACCCATTTGGTCATCACGAACACGAGAACGAGGACCAGCACGATGATCGGCGTTGGGAATCCTCATTGCGTGTCGATATCCTGGAATTCACAGGAGGCTTTGACGCTTCAGAGTTCTTGGATTGGTTGGCCGCGGTCGAGACCGCCCTCGACTTCAAAGAAGTGTCGGATGATCGACAAGTGGCTTGGGTGGCGACAAGGTTCCGCGGCCGGGCCGCCGCCTGGTGGCAGCAATTAAAGGAGTCTCGTCGTCGGTATGGGAAGTCAAAGGTAACGTCTTGCGCAAAATTTCGCAAGCACCTTGAACGTGAGTTCCTCCCATATAATTTTTGGTCGTATTATTTATCAACAATTCCAGAATTTGCGCCAAGGTACTTGTTCGGTTAACGAATATACTGACAATTTTATCGCCTAATGACACGAGTAGAACTTCGCGAATCGACAGATCAACTCGTGTCTCGATATATTGGTGGTTTGAGGGTTCCCTTGCAGGATACGTTAAATCTTTTTGCGCCGGTTTCTCTTTCGGACGCCCACCAGCGGGCGGTGCTTGTGGAACAGCAGTTGGGCCGGAGAGCAGGGCCATCTTTTTTGCCGGCAAACAGGTTAGGCCCCGGGTCTACTGCAGTGGGGCCGTTCTCGGGTCGACCAAGAGTGGCGGGTGGATCCTCGCAGGTGGCTGGCCCGGGTTTTCGTTGTTTTTCGTGTGGTGAGCCTGGACACCGCCAATCTATGTGTCCTCGAAATCAGAGTTCTCGGGCTTTATTTTCTGGTGAGGGTGGTGACGATGATGATGTTGTTGATTATACGGGCCCGGCGGTGTTTGATGATGAAGAGGTGGTAGAGGAGAAACATTTCATGGGTGATGTGGGGCAGGCCCTCGTTCTTCGTCGGGCTTGCTTGGCACCCCGTCATATGCCGGACGAGCCTATTCAGCGGTCTCATCTTTTTGAGTCCACTTGCACGATTGGCGGGAAGGTTTGTCATTTCATAATAGACTCGGGCTCTTCTGAAAATGTGATTGCGCAGGAGGCCATCGATAAATTGCACCTTTCTACCGAGCTGCATCCTCACCCTTACACTCTCGCATAGATTCAACGTGGCAATGCTATCACAGTTGACCGTCGTGTTCTGGTGCCTTTTTCTATTGGAGACACATATCGGGACTCGATTTGGTGTGATGTTGTCCCGATGGACGTCTGTCATCTTCTTTTGGGTCGTTCGTGGCAGTTTGACCGTGATGTTCATCATTCTGGCTGACTCAATACATACAGCTTCGCTTTTCAAGGAATGAAAATTGTTTTGCATCCCAGTCCACCTCGCCCTCCTTCACCTGCACAGTCTCCGTTTTTCCTCCTTTCGAAGGCCGCTTTTGAGCAGGAAATGAAGACGGCTCCTTTTGCTCTTCTGATGTTGTGTTCGGACGCATCTCCTCACCGCGAGCATCCCACCGCGATTCAACCCCTACTAGCAGAATTCTCTGATGTGTTTCCGGATGACCTACCTGTCGTCTGCCTCCTTTAGGTGACATACAACACCAAATTGACTTGGTGCCTGGGGTTCCCCTTCCTAACCGGCCACATTACCGCATGAGTCCGGCTGAGCATGAAGAATTACGATGTCATGTGGAGGATCTCTTATAGTGCGGGCTTGTTCGTCGCAGCTTGAGTCTATGTGTTGTTCTAGCGTTGCTTATCCCTAAGAAGGACAACTCCTGGAGGATGTGTGTCGACAATCGGGCTATTAACAAAATCACGGTACATTATCGATTTCCTATTTCTCGCTTTGATGATTTACTTGATTAGTTGTATGGGGCTTCGATCTTTACTAAGTTGGATCTCCAGAGCGGTTATCACCAAATACGTATACGCCTGGGGGACGAATGAAAAACCACTTTCAAGATTTGCGAGGGCTTTTTCGAGTGGTTGGTCATGCCGTTTGGGTTGTTGAATGCTCCCAGCACCTTCATGCGTGTTATGAATGAGGCACTTTGCGAGCTCATCGACAAGTCGTCGTTTATTTCGACGACATTCTTATTTACAGTCGTTCTTTGGAGGAGCATTTGGGTTATGTTTGGGAGGTCCTACTTATCCTCCGAGCCGAGTCGTTCTTTGCCGCCCCGAATAAGTGCTTCTTTCTTGTTGATTCGGTTTTATTCCTAGGATTCGTGGTTTCTTCGTTGGGGATCTGGGTTGATGACAGCAAAGTTGCGGTGGTTCGTGATTGGCCTACTCCGACTTCTTTTATTGAGGCTCGCAGTTTCCATGGGCTTGCTTCTTTTTACCGTCAGTTTATCTCTCATTTTAGCACGATCACGACCCCCATCACCGATTGCCTTACCGGGAAAGCCTTTGTGTGGACTGCTCAAGTTGCTGAAGCTTTCGCTCTTATCAAACAGAAGTTCATATCAGCCCATGTTTTGGTTTTACCGGATTGTTCTCGGCCATTTGAGCTTGCTTGCGACGCGTCTAAGGTTGGGATTGGAGCTGTTTTGAGCCAGGAAAGACGACCGGTTGTTTATTTTAGTGAGAAGTTGTCGGGTCCTCGCCTTCGATACAACACTTACGATGTCGAGTTCTATGCGGTGTACCGTGCTGTACAGTATTGGCGACATTACCTCTTTCAGTGGGAGTTTATTCTTTTTACTACTCATGAGGCATTACGGCACCTTGGCTCTCAGGGCGGGATTTCTGCCCGCCATGCTACTTGGTCTTTCTATTTGCAGCAGTTTACTTTTGTGTTGAAGCATCGCTCGGGTGCTTCAAACCGTGTAGCGGATGCTTTGAGTCGACGTTCACTCGTCTTGACTGGTATGCGTGTGACGGTCGTGGGGTTTGACTTGTTGCACACCTTTATGCGACGGATTCTTTTATTGGGTCTATTATGCCGCGTCTTGCTACGGGCTCGTTCGAGGACTACATTCTTTCTGATGGTTTCTTTTTTCGGGGAGTCCGCCTTTGTCTTCCGGATTGCAGTTTACGCCTTCGCTTGATTGCTGACATTCACGGCGTGGGCCATGTCGGAAGGGATCGATCCATTGACCTTGTTCGACGGTCTTACTTTTGGCCGACCTTGCAGCGTGACGTCTCNCGTTTTGTCGACCGTTGCCGCACTTGTCAAATTTCCAAGGTAGTGGCGTCTAATGCCGGGCTCTATCGCCCGTTGTCCATTCCTTCGCAGCCTTGGAGTGCGGTGAGCACGGATTTTGTTCTTGGCTTTCCCCGCACTCAGCGGGGTCACAATTCAATTTTTTTCGTCGTTGACCGTTTCTCCAAGATGGTCTATTTCGTCCCTTGCAAGCGGACCAGGGATGCTCTACATGTCGCCCAACTTTTCTTTCGTGAGGTATATCGCTTGCATGGTCTTCCCTCATCTATTGTTTCTGATCGCGATACGCAT